CCGACTGAGACTTGAGTATGGTAATACTGCGACACACCCCTGCACGACCGGTAAAATGACTAAGTTGGAGCGTGTATAGCGTGCTACCTCAAGGGTTTTGTTGGACTACTTGGGACTAGCTATGGAGGCCGTCCAAAGGCTATTGGGCAGCCGAAAGACAGCAACCAAAACCGGCGCACGACTATGCGTGGTTAATAGTTGTACAAACTAAAATAAACCAAACTGGTCTATTCCCAGTTGCTTATCGTCACTTCAAGAGGAATCTGATATGCCTGAAGCAGATCCTAAGGGTTGATATGGGCCGGGAAGTGTAGTAGCGTTTTTCACCACAGACAGAGGAACGCACGCGATGACGCTATCTCACATTACGTAATCTTCAGTTGGTTGGTCTTCCGTTAGTCTACCAACACTCATGGAGGTCAATAACGAACTGGAATTCGATGATTGCTACGGCGGATAGAAGTCTATCTACAACATTCACACCATTAGGTTTCACCATCAATGGGTGTGGGTCTGGTGGCTGCTAACCGTTCCATGACCCAGTCGTATTGCATTTGAAAAAAGCTGTTATGAGGGAGTGTTCCCGCTAGGCGGAGTATATCTTTCCTATCAGCTCAGTCTACCTCACTCTGAGATCTCCATCCTCAAGTATCACCTGAACCCCAAATACATAAAAACTGGAAGTCATTTCTAGGTGAAAATCTACGTGAAGCTCATCGTTATGAGGAAATAAACTGCTAAGTTGATGCAAACCCAATTGCTTTGAGCTGATTTGAATAAGTTACTTTAAACATCAACTTAAAATACCATTGATTTGCCATTTCGCCACATTCGGTTTACTAAGACAAATACTATAAATTTGATTAACAGGGATAAATTGTAACTTTTCACAGTATTTAAATACGTGAAAACATCCAGAGATACCTTGTAAATAGGATAGATTTATGAAGGTATCAGAATCCTTTGTGTTTCTTTTGCCTATCAGACATTAAAATGTTTTCCCGCTAAAATACGACTGCATTAAATACAACATTATTTTGTGTGACACTCTTAAACTGAAACTCCATTAAACCAAATAAAATTATGCTTTCTCCATGGATTACAGTAGACAGGTTATATAATAATAAGAAGTGTCATTAATTTGAATAAAAGATCAAGCATTACTGATGACACAAATGATTATAGATTTCTGTAATTAACAACACAAAGAAATGTTTAGAGAATTATGTTAGAAAAATCATTTTTACTTTGAAAAGAACCATTTCATTAGAGCTATTCAAGGGCCTTTCAAAAAAGAATGCAAAATATTAGTGCATTTTCATTAGATATTATAATTGATTTAATAAATAAAATAATTGTTTTGGTTTTCAGAAACCGTCCTCACGAGACACACAGAGTTCAAAGGGACGAATAAGTGAAAAACAAGACATCCAGAAATTTTCAAATAAGAACTCAACTGTTGGGAATCCTAACTCAGATATACACCTTAACTTGGTGGACTCTGACGAGGACTATCCTGTTCTTCAACGAGCTATCGGATATGCTGGTGACGATCGACCCTCGCCGACAGATATCACCCGGAGTAAAAGGAACGTCTCAGATTGGCTCAGCAAATGCCTAAAAAACGATTCTCAAAACTGGGAACAAATAGATTTGATATCTGTAAGTCAGAAGGATTGACTGGTATAGTTATCTGAACAAATGCAATATACGTAATCTATAAGGAAAAGTAGACAGATGCATGGTTCAAGCTTTTGTTGAAACTTGAATAATGTTAAACTATGGCTTGAGATGCTAAAATCTCGGTTCCCAGAATAAATACAAATCAGCCATTGAACACGT